TATATTTATATATACATTTTTACTCTTAAGGCAAAAGAATACTGTATCTATTTATGGAAGGATATGACAAAATTATGAAGTATTATCTCTGAGGAATGAAATTGTGACCCTAAGATGGAACAGAGATTCTTTTCATTTTATTTCACTATAATTCAAAGTTTTGACCATGTGTATATATGATGACAATTTTTTGAGAACTAGTTTAATATGTAAATAAATTGGAGAATAATAAAGCTAGAATTTCCTTAGTCCACAGGATTTTTTTTAAAGCATTGATTACTATTTCCTGTCTAATATATCTATACAGATCAGAAGTGTGTGCAGTATTTTTTTTTTAGATTCTTCACAACTACACACAAGTGTAACTGTGGACCATTTTTTGTGCATCAGCTCAGATTTGGAGATAAAAGAATACATTTAATTATGCATAATTTATGAAGAAAACCTGTTTCTAGAAATAACAGATCAAAGTCAATGCTTCATCTCAGCTCATGGTTTAATTCATCTTGGAGCTCTCTTTTTGAAAGATAACAAGTTCCAAGTTTTAATTTTTAAAAACCTCACCAGGTCGCTATGCTGTTGAGACCATTATTTTTGCCATTCTCAGTCTAATCCTCATTGTCTTCACTGAAATATATTAAATGTTTTTCATGAGCTTGTTTAACAGAAGCATTTCGTTAAGGTACATATAGAATCTTTTTAAAATCCCAATCACTTCTGGGGAGAGAGACAGACTTTGTCCTAAAGAGACTGGATTTTTCATAAAAGAATATTGTACAATCCAATTATTCCTGAATTCAAGACTAATTTCCTAAACTCCAAGGTTTTATTCTTTACTCTTGGTTTTGGCTTATGTCTGTGGATCTCAAATTGGATATAATTTTAGTGAGTAAAGCCCTCTCAATTTACAGATGAAGAAATATATGAAAAAGGTCATCTTGTTAAATTCTTTTAAGCTTATGGCTCTCAAACTTGAGTGCACATCACGGTCACTTTGATGGCTTATTAAAACACAGATTGCTGGTCCATCTTCCAAGTTTCTGATTCTGTGTGTTGACGTAGGGTCTGAGAATCTGCCTCTCTGACAAATTTCTGGGTGGTCCTGATGCTACGGGATTGGGGATCAGACTTTGGGAACCACTATTTTGATGTAACTCCTTCTCTGGAGAGTTTCTTTTCCTATTTTAGGTAAAAATCTTTCAAATGTGCTGTTTTTATTTTTTTTTTAACTTGATCATTACTTAACTAGACTCCATATGTTTCTCTATTTTAACTCCCTAAGAAAAACAAAACCACACATATCCCTAACATTTTCCCTAAGCTGGGGAAGTTTCTTTAACTTTTTTGAATCACTAAGACTGAAAGTTCTGCCACAAATAGTCACAAAGATAAATATCAAGCGCCCTGCACTGATCACTCCCTGTTCTCCGTTCCTGCTCATGTGCTTGGCTCTGATCCATGGAGCTCACTGTCTTGTGGGTGTTTAAGAATAGGCTCACTTACACTTTATATTCATGTCTGCTTCTCTCTTGTGTCATATAAGATATCTCTCGAGCTTCTTGTGGTTTTCTGTGCTGAGCATGATTTGGCTCGAAGGTTTCGAATGACTACTAGTTCAAACAGAACAACCTTCCTGGTGACCTGTTGGAAATAGGTTTGTGGTCATTCTTTATAGCATGGGAACAATTGGCTTGGCATCAACATGTTATAACTCACTGTATTTTGAAAATGAGCCTAAGACTATAAATAAATAAAGCAGATGAGGGTTGAATTGCTCAGGTATTGCCCCAAAGTAGAGAGCACAATGTGATTCGAGTCAGTCCACTGCTTTCAACGTTTATGGAGCACCTTCTCCGTGACCAAGACCAGGCTGGGGCTTGGGCACATGAAGATGTGCTGACCTGGGCCAGCATGCACACTCACTAACCCTGATGTGCTACCATCTATTAAATGAGAATAAAACAGCTACTTCCCATGTGTGCCCCAAGACTGTAGTGGAATCCTGCCTTGTCTTAGTTGGCTTGGGTTTCAAGATCATTTCAAGATCATTTCCTCTTTGGAAAAAGACCTGCATCTTTTGCAAAATGTTTGACTCATGCTTCCATGCATCACTGAGAATTCTGTATCTTTTAATTTCAACAGAAAACCAAGCCCTTGATGGCAGAATTCTCGGTAAAATCTACCATTATTTCTCGTTATGCCTTCACTACGGTTTCCTGCAAAATGCTGAACAGAGCTTCTGAGGACCAGGATGTTGAGTTCCAGATGCAGATTCCAGCTGCAGCTTTTGTCACAAACTTCACCACGTAGGTGACACACTGGTTAGAGAGAGATTTCTATGTGGGCGCTCAGAGTGGGCTTAAGATGATGAGGGCCATAGCTTTTGACTGTGAGAATTTATGTCCCATTAAGAATATGGATCTTTAGGCCAGGGATGTAGCTCAGTGGCACCGTGCCTGCCTGGCAAGCACAAGGTCCTGAGTTTGATCCCTGGTACCGCAAAAAAAAAAAAAAAAAAAGAATATGGATCTTTATACATGGATCAGAAGGTTGCCTTCTTTCCTCTTTTCCCTCCTTCTTCCCTTTTTCTTCTTTTTTCCTTTCCATTCTCTTTTGTTCCACTTCTCTAGTCTTCCCTCCTTCCTTTCCGTTTTCTTTTCCTTCATCCTGGTTCATCAGTCTGGGCCAAGTACTCTTCAAGAGGATTGGTATACTTCTATTTTATTTTATTTTATATTTTGGTACTGGGGATAGCCCAAACTCTAGACCTTGCACTTGCAAGGCAGGCGCTGGCATCACTGAGCTAAATCCCTGGCCCTATGCTTTTAAAAAGTTGCTTTGTTCCAGAAATTCCAGTTGGGAGAAATAGTCAATAAATTAATAAATCATCAAAGTGGATCATTTGAGAGAGTAGTAGACATTACAGTATAAGGATGGCAAGTAGGATCTAGAGGAACTTTCGTAGTCAGGGAAATTAGGGAGGTGGCTTAGAGAGACCCAAACAAATAGCACGAAACTCTTGATTGAATGTATTTCCTCTTTTTCTGGTCCAAGAGATAAAAATGTACAAAATGGGGTGGATGTTTGGGTTTAATTTTTGGTGTGGGCAAGAGTCAACTTGAAGAATCTTTATGGAAGTTTGAGCAGATCTTGTGATTTCTCTGCTAGAGAGTCACAGAGGTGCCTGGGCTGGGTCTCATCATTTGGACCTGTTGAAAACTGCCCTAGAATGAAACGAATGATTCAAGTTGGTGCCCTAGTCTGGAATGCATTCTGTCTGCATATCCAAGAGGCAAATAAAAATATTTCCTTGGGTTGCCATGGTTTTGAGGTCCATGTTTGAATGTGTCTTGGAACTGCACGCTGTTAACACAGCTGTCTCTTGGGTTTCAGGCTTATTGGAGACAAGGTATATCAGGGCGAAATTACAGAAAGAGAAAAGAAGAATGGAGATAGGGTAAAGGAGAAAAGGAATAAAACCACAGAAGATAATGGGTAGGTACTATTTAATTAAGGAATTAAAATCCAGTGAAGCAAAGTGTCATATACTTTCTACCCCTTTGCCTACCTAGCTTTTCCTTTCTTCCAAATTTTTTTTTATTTTTTATCAAAATAATAAATATATTTGATTAACACTATAATAGATAAACATTTATAATAAAAGAGAAACTTTTACTGTGCCTGTTGCTTAGTTTTTACTTCCTACTTGCTTTTAACATTTCTAGAGTTTTCTTTGTAATTACCTAACTCTAACTTGTGTGATAATGTTGCCTTTTCTTGATTTCTTAATAAAAATTAGATATTATCTGTTGACTCTTTTCTGTGAAGGAACAGGATTTAGCAAAATTATAATAATTCCATCTCTGCAATCTAAATTTTTACATTGTTTTATTTCTTCTTCCATTAATAAAGTATTTAAATTATTTTACACTATCCCTACTCTCTTAAGTGATAGTATTCTACCTTTCACTCTGACTGTCCTTACTTATTTCCTGTGTACATCTTTTGTAATATAATCATTTATGTTTGCATTGTCAGAGTTATTAATATTTAAATTGTAGTCTGTAATGATCCTTACATTTTTTGCCTCTAACTTGAATCTGAACATTTAAAAATCAATAAATAGTATTTGCTTTTGACTATATAAATCACATTAACTGAAGAGCCAGCTAGTACACTAATATGTACTAGCCCAACACAAAGGCCTCCATTCCCTTTACAAAAAAGTGACCTAGAGGGAGTGGTGTGAGCTCGTAAACCTGATTTTTGTTCCTTAATAAAAGAGCAGACCTGTGAGAAGCCCAGTTCTCTAAAATCATAGCCCATCAAAAATCTGCTGTTGGAAATCCTCTTAGTGAGAATGAAACTCTTGCCTGCAAGACCTGAGCCATGGGTTCACTCTGACACAGAAAATCAAAGGAGGTCCAGAGTTTCAGATAAGAGATTTTTCAGACACAACATTCCACATTTATCTTAATGCTACAGTTAGTTGCCAAAGACACAAAACCTTAAGTCTTCCTCAAGGTACAGGCCGACATTCATGGTTTTACACACAGCCCTGCTTTGCTTCTAGCCTGTCCAAACACTCCTTCCTTGAACTTTTGCTTTACCTACACTCTACCCATCCCCCAGTCCTGTAATAACCCTATCTCTTCCTTTGTTTGGCAAGATGCCTTGCAGTGCCTCTGGTATGTGGTCTCCCTCACTGGAGCAAACGATTAAAACCTCACTTTGTTGAACTACAGCTGTGTCCCAAGTTGTCTGCATTGAAATTGTTCAGAATTGTGCCACAATTTAGTTGAGTTGGATCAGAACATAATTTTGTTTTTCCTGGAGTTTCCAATTGTGTTTCTTTTTCCTTTTGGGGTAGAATTTAATTTTCTCACTATTAACATCTAACAAGACATGTAATTCATTTGAAATGGAGACAAAGGGAATAGCTATAATTAAGTTTCTACAAGCAATGACAGCCACATCACCCAGATGCCTGGCTAGCAGCAATTGAAAGATACCATTGATGGGAAAACATTCTGATTTCAGAGCTGTTAAAACATGTTAAAGCGTGGGTGAATCTGGATCCATCCAATACTGTCACTGTTTGCAGGCTTGCTGCAAACATTTACCCTGGAATTTCTTTTCCTTTTCTTCTGCTTTTGTTTTGCTGTTTATTGTATTCCATAGTTTTGTCTCTCCTGGTATTTATCTTTATTCTGTTCAAGTATATTCTCAAGTAGCTTGCTTAGAATGGGTGCATGAGGATAAACTTTGTGAGACCTACAATGATATGTATGGCTGTGTATGGAATTTAAGGTCAAAATAATTTTCCTCCTGAACTTTGAGGTATTGCTTAACATCTTATAACATCTGGTATCACTGATGATGCACCTAATGTGATCTGATACCACTCCTTTTACATCTTTTCTCTGATGTTCTGAAGTTTTACCATAATGGGTTTAAGCTGTCAGTTCTTTTTCATTCATTCTGTCTGATGAAGCTTTTCAATCTTAATATTTGTATCTGTTAGTTCCCGAAAAGAGGAGTACAGCTTAGTCATTCATTCATATAGGACTTAGAATCATCTCCCTTTATTTGGTGCCCTCCTAAACCCATGGCCTGCAGTTTCTCTGAGATTCTTCCAACAGTTTGGTTCTCTCCTTTGTTGCAGCCTCTTCCAGCATGTTCTGAGCTATAGAATTCTTTTGCTATGCAATCCCCCAAGTCTTTGGAAACTTTCCGAAATGTCCTAGGAATTAAGGGTTACTCTTTCCACTCTTAATCTTTGGGTGGTTAGTCTGACATTTTACCTCAGAGAACCCTCACTCCAAGTACTGACAGCGTTTGAGATAGTTGGTATTCTTATCGGTGTTCTTTCCTCTTTAAACACATCTACTAAATTTTACCAAGGTGCAAAAACATAACAATGTATTAGGTGTTACATAAAATGTCGGATTTCATTGGCCATCCCTGCAAAGGGCTGAATGCAATTCACAGCTTAACTCCAAAGCTCCCTCTTCTAACAGTTTACCTGCTTACGGGGCCCTTTCCCACTGACCCCCTGAGGTCTGTTTCAGGGAGAGGCAGAAGGGGTCAGCAGTCTTTGAATTCTCTCCTGTTCAGTATCCTTCAGCCCTTGGTAACCTTTCTAGCACTGGTCTTTGCTTCTTCCAAAACTAACTTTTATTTTTCTTTCTAAGGATGCACCCTGCAGTGCCCACTGGTCTTTCCTGCATGGTGTTTTGTAGCAGGTGTCTGAAGGGACTCAGGTAGCTTGGCTTTTCTTATTCTGAGCCCTACAGCGGCTTCTTTTGCCTTCCTGACAGGGACCAGGGGACCGACATGTTCAAAGCGTCCCTAGTGATTCCCAGCAAGGACAAGGCCATCTTCCTCCTGAGTTACGAGGAGCTTCTGCAGAGGCGCCTCGGCAAATACGAGCACATTATCAGCGTGCGGCCTCAGCAGCTGGTCGGGAGGCTGACGGTGGAAGTGACTGTCTTGGAGAGGTCGGGCCTCGAGGGCCTGGAGGTGCTGCCGCTCCGCAACAGCAGGCAGAAGGGCAGCGCGAGGGCCGAAGGTGAGTCAGAGCTGCGACTTGGCTGCGGAGAAGTCTCTAGAAGAAATAGCATCCTTCAACAAAGGCTTTGCATTTTTGTGGAAATTGGAAAGATAACTACAAAGCAAACACCTTGACTTGCACAATTTTATTTTTTCATTAAGTTTATAGGTACATTTTAGGTATACAATACAGTTACATTCATCACTGGAATCTTGTACCTTTACATGATGTATCTTGGTTCTTACTTTTTCCCCTTCCCCTGCCCACCCTTCCCTATTTACAAAGACTTTATTTCCATTTTTTCCTTTTTCTCATATTTTTTCTTTTCCCTTCTTTCCTTCCCCCTACCCCTCCCACCTCCCCTAGTCCTTTAGATGTTTTCTTCCTATTTCACAATATCAATTATACATTTTGATTCCTATTTACACTTTTAGTTTTTCACACCAGAGAAACTATTCAGTGTTTACACATGTGTCCTATTTATTTCACTTAAGAGTATGGCCTGCACAATTTTATTTTTACAGAGCTAGGTCTAACAGGAGATTGAAAAAATATTTTAAGTCTTTTGAAATAGTAATCTCACTCTGAGGAATCTGATGAGACAAAGCACTTAAATATTGTGGATATTATATACAGGAACCTGCCTGATTATTTGTAGTACATAGTAAAAACATTCCATCAGCTTAAATATTCAACAGTGTGGAGGACATTAGTAAAATACACTGATAAAAACAATTTGCATATGACCGAAAAAAAGCAAAATTGTATATGCACTATAATGTCAAATGTATTAAATACAAAGCTGGTTAAAGATTAAAAAATATGAACTAGTTATATTATGGACATGGATGGAATTACAGGGTTGCTTTCTAAAAATTTGTTTTTTTAACATTCAACAATGTTATAGTCTTTCCTTTTGTGTGTGTGTTGTGCTGGGGATTAAACTCAGGGTCTTGTGCATGCCAAGCAACTACTCTACCACTGAACTATGCTCTCACACCTTTTTCTTAAATTAAAAAAATGTACTGTAGATTTGATTTTAGATACAGGTGCTTTGGTTTATTAGAAGGATCATTGAGTTTAAGTTTTTCTCAAATTTTGATTTTTTAAAATAGAATTCCACTTATCAAAATGACTATGAAAAATTCAATGTAGTCTAAGTTTAATCACTATTATTTTAAACTAATAGTTTATATTAAATATTTTCTTGTGTTGTACTCTATACTTAATATACCAGTAAGGATTGATGTCAAACAGATGATGAGACAGATATATTAAAAATTTTACCAGGATTGGAATGACATTTCAATTAATTGTGATGTTGCAGGGAGGGAAATGGTAAATGATAACCAAATAAGTGAAATGTGCAAAATCTGAACAGAGATTCTAGAGCAGACTGGAGAATCTTCTTGGACAAGGATGTGTATCAAGAAGACTGGAAGGAGAGGAGAGAAATGACTAGACAAGTGGAATAAGAGAGTGTGGGTCTTTAATATAAAGCAAAAAATATTTAAGTCTTGGAGCTGGTACATGGGAAAGCAAACAATATGGAAGGAATGCATCCTGACAGCAGCATATGGTTTAGTTAATGACTTTGCATGTGAGAAGTTGTTCACCCTCCAAGACTGAGTGCCCCCTGCCTCTTGGTAGACTCAAGTCCTTTGCACCATGTTGACTTCAAACACTGAACTTGATATTTGCAATCCAGATCTAACTGAGAAAACTAAGCTATTGCCAAGGGGTCTGCATTCAGAAATAGCATGAGATACAACACACCATTCTTGAAGGATGTTGGTGGCAGTTATATGGTTAATGGATTTTAGTTCAGTTCTTGACCATAACCTTGAAAGAAATTACTGCAGCAATCTAAGACCAGTTGCACATCTACAAAACAGGGAGGATCGTTGTCTTATAAGGTCAGAGTGAAGTATTAATGGGTTTAAAGCAACTGGCCCAGATTAAGAGTTTAATAATTGCTAAATATTATTATTATTATCACTTTATGATTACCTGTTTGTTTTTTCCTATAAAAATGTTGTAAGATCATAGTGCCTTTGAAGGCAGCCCTGCATTACCTTTGTCTCCTTGTGGGAGTTAATCCGATGCCTTCTAAATAGTCTATCACTAATTGAGTGTCTTCAGAGTAGAGAAGAAAAGCAGACACATACACACATGTTAGGGAATGTCTTATATTTCATTTCTCTCTAATCATAATCTAAACGGAAAGTTTCCCTTGTAAAACCATAGGAAAGTAGTGTTTTTTCCAGGGGGAAGAAGGCTCAGTCAGAGTTGGCAGAATCATGGGGAGAGCAGAATGTCTAGGATGAATACTCAGGGGTAGTAAACCCATTTAATGAAATGCATGTGCTTTGCCTAATTTTCAGAACCACTGTGGTTCTACAGAGCTGTGTGCACTTTGTGGTGTGTGTATGTGTTTTACGCTTGGATTGCAATTTGTTGAAAAGTTGCTTACTGTTTATATTCAGGGCTTGTTACTCTCTCAGAGGAATTTTTCCAGACCATTGATCTCCTGGGATCTGTTTATTTTTTTAAAAAAATTCTTTTCCTAACTCTTTGTACCAAAGCAGATCATTTGCTTTCCAGAACATTGAGATTTCACAAGTATTTCCCAGAACCAGGTGCAGTGGACTAATTCCCTCTTTGCTGCTTCTCATTTCCATTTTTTCCAGCTCAGCTGGTATTCCTGAAAAATGGTAGCTTCAGCAGTGCGCAGCACGTGATGTTGTGATTTTGTCTGGACACCACAGCAAGTTTCTAAAATAGATGCAGGGTAGAGATCAAACTAGGATTGGGCTTGCATCAGAGCATACGCTGTATCTGTGTGTAGGTGGCCCAGGGCAGGACATTCCTCTGATACATTTAGCTGGAATTAAGAAATCAGACTTCTGTGATTTGTCTAAGCAAATATCTGACCCCTGGAGCCACTTTCAACTTGAGAGATGCAATTCTGGATAAGGATTACTATGTTTTAGGTACTAGACTAAGCACTTTGCTTAAATATAGTGCTATTTCATTCAATCTTTATGATAACCCTCTTAGGTTGTATTTTCAATTTTCATTTTATTTAAGAAAAAGCTAAGCTTTCCTGAGGTTCAGAAATATGGGCAGCATCTTATATCTATTTATTACTAGAAACAGAATGTAAGAGTAGATCCATCTGACTCCTTCCATGCCCTTAATCATTGTAGGATCCTATCCTCTAATTAAATAGAAGATTGTAAATTGTATGTGTTCCAATTCTAAGTCTCTTCATAGTTAAATATAGAAATAAAAAGGCAAGCTAAAAATCAATATAATCTATTTTTGCCTCAGTTTACTTGCCTGGTGGGTCAAAATTGGACCCATATCTATTGACTCCTTCCCAATGTAGAAGTCAATTTTGTGAGTTATAAATTGGAGCTAAAGCATTATAATTTCTAAATTATTACAATAGTAAACACATGTAGATGGCTCAAAATCTAAAATCTTACAAATTAATTGTTAAAGACAAGACACTCTTTATTCCGTCCTCCTGCTGTCCATCCTTCTAGTCCTTCTCCCTTGAAATATTTTAATGCATTCTGGGTTCAGTGGAGCAGAATATGGCCACTCATCACTTAATGAATGAGATCTCTGTCTTTATGTTATTTGCCATCGTCTGAACATCACAGAGCATCTTTGCATAGCCTAGAAGGTCAGTTGCTCTACATGGCCTCTTGATGCAACCAAGAGACACCATGTAAAGAGATGTGTGAGGCTGCTTCCAGAGCAATACAGCATGCTGTTTTACAGTGAAAGTCTTTTTACAGGTAGAAGGAATACTCTCTAAAATAATGGTAAAGGTATAGTATACTAAATAGTAAATTCATAAGCTAGAAGCATGGTCATTTATTTTCATTATCAAGTATTATGTATCATATATAATTTTATGAGGGGGTGGTAAAAATATACAGCACATGTTTAATAAAATTTATTACAGTAAAACCCACATTTTCATTAATTGTCTTAAAATACTTCCTTTCACTTTGAACGTATTTATCCCATCATTCTTGCTACTTTTTGAAGCAGTTCTGGATATCCTCCTTCATGAGTGTCTTTACGAATTGTGATTAAAACTACAGTGAATGCTGCTGCCAAGCACCACCCAATGGAAAGTCAGGCGCATAAAAACATTACATGTGTCCTCATTCACCTTATTCACCAGATCTGGCACCATGTGACTTCTGGCTCTTCCTCAAGTCAAAATGACCATGAAAGGTAAATATTTAAAATTGATTCAGAACAGTAAGGCAGCCAGAACTGTGCAACTAGACACTCATGAAAGAAGACATCCAGAATTGCTTAGGAAAGTGACAAGAACAATGGAATAAGTGCATTCAAAGCAACAGGAGTATTTAAAGGGGGATTAATAGCAATGTGTCTTTTACTGTAATAATTTTTAAACTTAAACATTTGCCACCATAGTTTTCCATCACACCCATTTGTGCTGTATTTTCTTATGAGTGCAGTGCAATAGGTGTGTTTATGGCAGCATTACCAGAAACACGTGAGTAATGAGTTGTACTTGACATTATGACAGCTATAAACTCCCTAGGTAATAGGAATTTTTCAGTTCCATTATGATCTTTAGAGAACAATTATACCTACGATTTACCATTGACCAAAATGTCATTACATAGCACACATCTCTCTCTGAAATGAAACATTTCCCAGAATGTAACAGGGATGCTTAACTTATAAACTTCATGGCCCACACATGGCACTTAAATTACTGTTTTGACCTGATTCTTGTTGTTTTTGGTACAAAAATTTTAATTTATGACAAGATCCTTGATGACTAGTGGTAAGATAAAATGAGAAATGAGATACCTATTCTTTTAAATTACATCTTTGACTTTCTATCAGTGACTCTGAAACCTGACTGTATCCAAGAGTAACCTGGAAAGATAAAAAAAGAAATGCATATGGCTGATTCCCACTCCAGACAAGTAATTGGAGTGGATTGGGGTGAGGCTCAG